GCTTTGTTGCCTAGGCTAGAGTGAGTGCCGTGGTGTCAGCCTAGCTCACAGAAACCTCAAACTCCCCGGCTCAAGCGATCCTTCTGTCTCAGCCTCCCAAGTAGCTGGGACTACAGGCATGGGCCACCATGCCCGGCTAATTTTTTTTATATATATTAGTTGGCCTATTAGTTTCTTTCTATTTATAGTAGAGACGGGGTCTCGCTCTTGCTCAGGCTGGTTTCGAACTCCCGACCTCGAGCAATCCACCCGCCTCAGCCTCCCAGAGAGCTAGGATTACAGGCGTGAGCCACCGCGCCCGGCCAACATTTTTTCTTTATTTTTCTCTTTTGCTCCACATCCCCCAAATCTTTATTTCCATCTGTGTCTCTCATAATCACTGAAGGCAAGCTCTCCTTCTTAAAAATCCCAAATTACAACAATGTGGAAAAAATGACAGTTAATTACTAACTTAATATAATCCAGGGTTATTGAAACTGCTAACAGGGCTAAGACCACATTATTAAAAGATTAACAAGCATCAACTACTGAATCTTAGCACTCATAGATCAGACCTGAAATAGTGTTCTTAATTCTAGATACCACATCTTAAACTGAAGAATATACAGAAGAAGATGAAAAAGATGATAGAGTCTGGAAAAAATGTTTACATAGGTGAGAGAATTGGTGTTCTTTAAAAAGACCCAATTGAGATTAGATGTCTGGCTTAAATACTGAAAAGATTGATAAAATGACTCGGTCCAGCGTACTCAAATAAAGATAAACTAGGACTGTAAAATTAAGTTACAGAAATATTTCAGCACTCTCTCAGCTACTGGAGCTGTCTATCTGAGAAAAAGCCTGTCCCAGGAAGGCATGAATCACCATTTTTGGAAATAGGCAGAGAGGACTGATGTTGATCAGAGATTTAACAAAAGAGATTCTACTTATTGAATAATCTTTAAAAGTCTTTTCAACTGGAAAGTTCTTTGAGATAATCTTTAATTTTAAATAGCTCTATAAGTAATGGGAAAAGCTGAAAACTAAGGATTGAAATTTGATTTTGGTGGCCTAATCATAATCATCCACATGACTTTTTAGCTTTGTTTTCATGATAATGTTAATTAAGTGTTGGTTGTAGTGGCACAAATTTAAATTTTGATTGCCAGGCTAAACATTTCAAGAAGGATCTTCCTGTCTACTTCAAAAAACAAAATTGCATGCAGGGTGTGGTGGCTCACACCTGTAATCCCATCACTTTGGGAGGCCCAAGGCCAGAGGATTGCTTGAGGTCAGGAGTTCAAGAGCAGCCTGAGCAAGAGCAAGACCTCATCTCTACTAAAAATAGAAAAATTAGCTGAGTGTTGTGGCACACGCCTGTAGTCACAGCTACTTGGGAGGCTGAGGCAAGAGGATGGCTTGAGCCCAGGAGTCTGAGGTTGCAGTGACTACCCAAGGTGACAGAGCAAGACTCTGTCTCAAAAAAAAAAAAAAAAAAATTCCATCCTACTTCTGCAACTTTGGGTCCTATTGATATCAAGAATTTGGCATCCAAGGGAGGAACACTTCCACCAAGGGACACTATAGTATTTCCCCTGCAGGGAGTGATGAAATGCTGCGATAACTACCTGGTCATTCCAGATTCCTTCGCAGGAGAAAATGGGGTCATGATGTTGGCAAGAATGATTCTCAGAACCACAAAATGGGAACTAAAAGGAGCATAGGTAGAATCTGGGGAACTCACGGGGGCACCTCCTGATATTATCATGGCCAGTAGTAAATGCAGATTACCACAGTTCCACACAGGCAGGACTATCAAAACCTCAGAACTCCCAAGAATGAATGGGTACACTACCAGCTACCTCGTTTTTTTTTTTTTTTTTGTAACAAGGTCTTGCTACACTGCCTAGGCAGGTGTCAAACTCCTGGGCTCAAGCAATCCTCACACCTCAGCCTCCCATGTAGCTGGGACTACAGGCGCGCACCAGCACACCTAGCTCAACTTTCCTGACTATCTGAACCTGCTCACAGCCATCAGGAGAAAGCCCACAGCCTGCCTTGAAGGAGCCCCAGCTTGGAGACAGAGCTCAGCAGGCTCTTTGAAGAGCTCACGTGCTTCTATTCTAGTCCAGAGTTTTCCTATTAATACTAGCCCCTAGATTGACAAAATGGCAACGGTCTCACACCCAATATGTCAATTATTAATAAATTTTTGAAATTTGTTTTATTCCTTCACTCCAACGAAGGGATAAAGAAGGGGTGAATGACTAGTTTAACAAGATACAGAATATTTTCATCACCCAAAAAAGTTCCCACATCCTCCACTCCAGAAAATACCCCACAGAACCTCATAGGTACTGTGTTTCCCCGAAAATAAGACAGAGTGTTATATTTATTTTTCCTCAAGAAGACACCCTAGGGCTTATCTTCAGGGGATGTGTTATTTTTTTTAAGTACAGTACAACAATCTACATTTATTCAAATATAGTTATGTTGTCTTCTTCTGGAACATCATCATAACTCTCCAAAACCCAAATTCCATCCTGAATTTCTTGCAACTCTATTTCCTTTAGAACCATTGGCCCCAATCTCTCATGTGGAGCAATAGAGCTCTCATGGGGCAGATGAGAAGGGCTGCTCATCTTCCTTACCGCTACTCAATGAAATGCATAAGTTGTGCAGATATGCTGTGTAGCCACGCCCATCCCTAGGTCTTATTTTCGGGGCAGGGCTTATATTGTGCAAATGCTTAGAAATCCTGCTAGAGTTTATTTTATGGGTAGGTCTTATTTTCGGGGAAACATGGTAATTATTATTCTCACTTCTAGCACTTTATGTTAGTTTTGGCTACTCTTGAACTTCATATAAACGGATCCACATAGTATTTGTGTCTCCTTCTTTTGCACAATGTTTTTAATATTCACCTATATTGTTATATGTATCAGTAGTTCAAACTGTTCTAAGTGCTATGTAGTAATTTCATTGTATGAATCTACCATTATTTATCAATTCTCTTGATGAAAATTTGGGTTGTTCCCAGTTTTTGGTTATTAACAATAAAGTTGCTATGAATATTTGTGTATAAGTCTTTTTATGAGAACATATGAGCTCTTTTCTCTTGAGTACATGCCTATAGATAGCATAGCTGGGTCTTAAGGTACAGATATATTTTATGAAAAACTGCCAAACTGCTTTCTTTCTTACCCTAAAAGGTATCATCCATTTTTATAATATTAGCATTTCTGGTATTTATTATGGTTTAAATTTGCCTTTCCTGGATTAATAATGCTATTGAATGCCTTTTCTTATACTTTTAGCCATTTGAATATCTGTGTGTGTGTGTGTGTGTGTGTGTGTGTGTGTGTGTGTGTGTGTGAAGTATCTGTTCAAGTCTTTTGCCCATTTTAAATTAGGGGTTTTTTTTTGGTTTTTTTCTTTTCAGTTTACAGTTCTTTACGTATTGTGAATATAAGCCCTCTGTCAGATATGTCAAGAGTGTGTTTTGATGAGAAGTTTTAAATTTTGATAAAGTGCATTCTCAACATTTTCTTTTATGGCTAGTGCTTTGTGGGTTATAAGAAATCAATACCTACTCCAAAGTCATGAAAACATTCTCCTTATTCTCTTCTAGATACTTTATAATTTTAGCATTCACATTTAGGCCTAAGATCCATATCAAATTATTTGTGTATGATGTGAGGTAGGTTATTTTTTCCATGTGGATAGCCATTAAAAATTTACTTTTCAACAAAATACACTTTACATTTCTCTTATGTGTTTTTGTTCCTGGGAGCAGTTTAAAATACACATTAAATCTTAATCTAAGTGACATTAGGCTTATAGATCTCTCAATATAAAATAATTTCACCATAATATTAACATTTTAAAAAATATTACCAAGGATAAGATAAATAGTAAAAATAATATTCTGGACAAATTTTATTTCAAACTTCAACAAAAGGCAGGTCATTTATAAACTCAAATGTCTTTAGTAAAGCATGTAATGAATGGTCATGTAGAAAATATATAAGTTAAATATTTTTTATATTAATTAAAAATTATTCTCTGTTGCAATTATTGAAATTTTATAATAAAATTGCACCTTTTGCCTTTGGCAAACCATAGGAAGTGAAGTTTTAGGTATTATTTGACAAATAGCACTCCATTTAACTGGGGCTGAAACTTAAGTGGAAATACTGTAACTGTTATCTTTAAGTATGTATATGTCTACAATGTTTCATATTGTTTCTCTTAGTGCTGTCAATCTATAATGGACATGATCATATGGTAAGTCTAAAAGAAGAGAAACTAACCTTATCCGTTGAACATTTGCTATGTCGTTGAACTAGATGGTCTCTTATCATATGAAGTTCACATAATCCTTATAGTATCCTGTAAGAGAATTCTCATCTTTTTCTCATTTTACACTAAGTCCAGAGTTAGTGACATTAAAGACTTCCCAAAGTCTATGGCTAGTAAGGGAGAGAAGTGGGGCTGTGAGGGAAGTCTGTCTGAATTCAAAGTCCAAGCTCTTTTCTCTATATAGAACTACTTTATTCTCTGGGAGAAAAATAGCTGATTAACAAAAGGCAAAATTACATATCTTACATATCTTACATATTCACTGGTAAATTTCCTTTTAATAAATAAAGGAAGCAACATATTTTGAATGCTTTGCTCTATGCCAGGCGCTGTAAAGGATACTTAATTATACACGCTTACCATGAAACAATTTACAATCTAGCTGAGGAGACATGCATGGCACAATTAGTGAACATAATCAAATAATCAAAATTAACTGTTAAAGTAAGATCTAAAGACCACTGATGTTGAATGAATTTTTGAAATGAAGGGCTGTGCTAGAGCACATCAAATCGACTTTTAGGGTGGGACCACTTTATGAAGGGTCTTGAAAGAGGGAAACTGAGTAAAACTGAATTTAAGCCCTTGAAGATTTTTTATTTGCATAAAGAAAAAGGTATTCAAGAAAGTTTTGTTTTGCAGGAAAACTTAGGGGTATCTCTGAGTAGAGCGACAAACTTGGAAAACAAATGATATATTACAAGGCTTAAAACTGCTTTCCAACAGTATATTGTTCACCATAGATAAGATACTATAGAAACAAAAAATACAAAACATATACTTAGCTGCCAGTATATTTCTCAACAATATGGAAATCCTAAATACATCTAATTTAATCTATAGATTCAGGAGATAGATGAGATCTTGGTATGAGACAGCTGCTCACCCCTGTGAAAGTTAAAAACATTTTTAAAGCCCTCCTACTTTTTTCTTATCTCCCAGTTTTCCAAGAAAAAGGTAAAGAGAGTGCCACATTTTTTGTAATCTCTGTAATGTAAGTGGTAACAAAATGTGATTTATGCCTGTTTTATGACATGTGGATTCTCCCATTAGTCTTCAGTATATCAAAGTTGCTTTTTTTTTTTGAGACAGGATCTCCCTCTGTCATCCTGGGTAGAGTGCAGTGGGGTCATCACAGCTCACAGCAACCTCAAACTCCTGGGCTCAAGTCATCTTTTTGCCTCATCTCCCAAGTAGCTGAGAACACAGGGGTGCACCACAATGCCCAGCTAATTTTTCTATTTTTAGTAAAGACAGGATATTGTTCTTGCTCAGGCTCAAAGTTACTTTTTATAAAGAGGTGCAGAGTATCATTTTCCTAAATTATGATTAGACTAGGCCACTGAAATCTCCTTTCCAAATCTTTTATATGTGTACTATTATAAGAACATATGCCCACAGAGTAAAAACACAATGAATGTTTCCTGATTGGATGAATTGGAGCCTAAGCCTATAATCATAATTTACATGATAATTAATTCAGACCAATGCAGAGAAGGGTTATGAAACTAAAGCACAGAAAATAATTTGGAAGACTCTTCTTCTTAGAGATTAACTTTGATTCCAATGGCTTGTTTAAATTGAAGGTTTTGTGGTTCCAAGATGTCATAGAAAACTTGGTTTTTGTCAAAATGATCTCTAATATAAAGTAAATCTTCAATGGAATAGTTATCATTTTTTCCAGTCCAAATAGTCAGGCTGTACCTGCATTAAAATAAAATAGAATTATATAGTTAACAATAAAAGAAAGTGATGAGCAATTTCAATAAGCCTAAAAATACTCTCACTTGTCTCTAACCCAAATGCACACAGAAAAATTTAATCAGAAGTAGTATAACTGTACTTTCTTATTTAATTCCTTCATCAACATCAGAGGGACTAAAGACAAAAACAAATCACACTGCTGTTGTCTAAACTACATAACTGCTCTATCTTAATTCCAGGAATGTTAAATGGACTTAGAAACCCAGACTGGTGGCAATGAAAACGGGTCTAATTTTGGAAAAAGAGACTATGTTGCTGATTAAGGAATCTGTTCCCCCACAGAAATTTACAGCTGTAATCTGGGTTTGTTCAGTAGCCTGGTCAGAGTGAAAAGCACAGTGAGAGGGAACTGTGAAGAGACACAAATGTCACTGACATTCCCAACACTCATGGTCATGTATGGCTGCCCTTCCTGTAAAGAATTTGTCTAAGCAGTTTAAGTAGCTCTTTGTTATGGCCTACTTACATGTGAAAGACCATAGATGAAAACAAGTTATTTCTGTATAAACCAATATTTTTTAGTTTGAAAGACCTAAACTCTGGATATTTAAGAAATATGTAATTTCTGCTCAATGGGAAAAAATGTTCTAAAACTTCTTAGACTAACTTTGCTACATTGAACAACCTAAAATATCCAGTTAGCAGTTGATGGTTTTCATCATGCCCACAAAATAGTCTACATTAATTCAGTTTTTATAAGACCCATTTGGAGTATGTTTAAAGGACTTATTTCTGAGGTCTCCTGGGTTACTAGGTGCCTCTGTGAGTTGAAAGTTCCAATAGGATTGAACATGACCATGTGAAATTCAATATGACATCATTAAAAATAACTTAAAATAAATCCAAATGGAATTTAGCCTTGGCAGAATTTTCTCACAAATGTGGCCACAGGACAAGGTGCAGTGGCTCACACCTGTAATCCTAGGACTCTGGGAGGCCAAGGTGGCAAGATCGCTTGAGCTCAGGAGTTCGAAAACCAGCCTGAGCAAGACCGAGACCCCATCTCTACTAAAAATAAAAAGAAATTACTTGGACAGCTAAAAAAAAAAAATATATATATATATATAGATAGATAGATAGATAGATAGATAGATAGATAGATAGATAGATAAGAAGCTGGGCATGGTGCACATATCTGTAGTCCCAGCTACTTGGGAGGCTGAGGCAGAAGGATTGCTTGAGCCCAGGAGTTTAAGGGTGCTGTGAGCTAGGCTGATGCCAAGGCACTTCTAGCCAGGGCAACAAAGTGAGACTTTGTCTCAAAAAAAAAAAAAAAATGGAATCATACACCTATCATTCTGCATCTTAATTTAATTAACAATGTATCTTAGAGATCATTCCATATTAAAACGTAGGGTGTACTGCATTATCTATAACAGGTATATAATATTCCATCATATGGGTGTACCATAATTTATTCAACTAGTTCTGACTGGTAGAAATTTAGAATGTTTCAGGTTTTTTATTAGTACAAACAATGCTTCAAGAATATCCCTGTAGCTGTGTCTCTGTGCTTCTGTGAACTTTTGTTAGTAAGACAAGCCCTCATTAGTGAAATTATGAGTATCTACCAAATTTCTCTCCAAGGAAATTATTGGCCTATTTACATTCCTGTCAGCGTATTAGGATCTGCTTCCTCTACTCTCTCCAAGATAGTGAATTACCAAACTGGGCCTTTTTCTGGGTGATTTGTAAAAAATTCTTTAATTGTTAGAATTCTTTACATCTGTCTTACATATATACTAAGAATCCTTTTTTTTTTATTACCAGAATCTTCCTGTTTTTATGCCTTTGAATATATCAAAATTTCCTTTTACAGTTTCTAAGTTTTGTGCCTTAGTACTAAGAAAAGTCTTCTCCATTCTGAAAGTATATTTAAAAATCATCCCTTGTTTTTTCTTTATTCATTTACTGTTTGATGTTCAAGTCTTTACTTCATCTGGAATTTATTTTGGAGGAAGGAATAAGGAAAAGTGTTAGCCTTGTTTTTCCTATATAGCCTGTTGTCTGAACACCAGTGATTGAAATGTCAGCTTGTTTCTATACTAAGTTCCATAATAGATTTGGGTTTATTTTTTAGACTTTCTCTTTGGTTCTATTGACTAGTCTATTTAAAAAAAAATTACCAAAATGGTTTTAGTATCTGTACTTTTATAATATATTTTAATAATTAATAGGTGGTCCAACTCATTTTTATTATATATTAAAATCATAAAATTTTTATATAGAAAAGAATTCTGAAATTTTGATGAAATTTAAAGAGAAACTATTTTATCTACTCATAACTTTGTGACAATGTATAACATAATGAAAAAGATGACTAATATTTACTGGGCACCTACTATGTGCAAAAACTTTTGTGAGGGATAGGGGTGAAAGACCCAATGTTAACTCAGTTAAACTTCATCAAGGAGCTTCAGTCTAATGAGGGAGTTTGTGCACGTACATAATCAGTTTTAATTTTCTCTCTTTCTCAGCCACGCTGTTCTTACATAATCAATTTTCATGCCCCTTCTATCTCTGTCTCTCATACACACTTGCATGTACACACCATAGTGTTAAGCTAATACATACCTGTTTGATTTCTTCAACAGCCAAAGTAACTGAGAACAAGACTGCCTGACTAATGCTGCTCTCACAGGGAATGTTACAGGCTGATTTAGTTCATTACATATATATTCCATCTCTTTCACCATTGTCCAACTGTATCCTTAAATGAAAACAAAGAAATTTAACTTTTGTGATTGAAATCCTGAAAGTCAATTAAATAAAAAACTAAATTACCTATAAGCAGATAAATCCATAGATAATTCATAAATTCACAGGTGAATTCATAGGTAATTCATAATCCTTTCTACTTAGATTCAGAGTGAATTAAAATACAACTTCATGCATGAAAATACTTTGAGTGGAAAATGTAGATTAAAAAAAATCATGTTATAAGTGACCAAGAGCTAATTTAACAAAAAATTAAAATATTAAAAGGGTGTCACTAATCTCTCAAGAACAAAAAAAGCAAATCTGATGCTACTATATCTTTATTTACTTTAAAGATTCTAAGGCTCTTCTCTTAGGGACATCATCATTATTATTCTCTGTAAACTTAGATTTTCTATTTGTGTTAAATTTTCTTTTTCAAGAAAAGGTAGCTGCTAGGTGTTTACTAGCTGTTTAAGTGATAATTAACTTCAAATAAATTTTCTTTTTGGCTAGTTCAAATTACTTATACATTTTACCTAAAGTAGAAATAGTGGTAAAATTGACTATATTTGTTTTGTTTTGTTTTTTTGAGACAATAGTCTTGCTTTGTTGCCCAGGCTAGAGTGGTGTGGTGTCAGCCTAGCTCACAGCAACCTCAAACTCCTGGGCTCAAGGGATCCTCCTGTCTCAGCCTCCCAAGTAGCTAGGACTGCAGGCTCACGCCACCATGCCTGGTTAAGTTTTTCAATTTTTTTTTTTTTTTTTTTTTTGAGACAGAGTCTCGCTTTGTTGCCCAGGCTAGAGTGAGTGCCGTGGCATCAGCCTAGCTCACAGCAACCTCAAACTCCTGGCTAAGCAATCTCCTGCCTCAGCCTCCCAAGTAGCTGGATACAGGCATTCGCCACCATGCCGGTAATTTTTTGTATATATATTAGTTGGCCAATTAATTTCCTTCTATTTTATAGTAGAGACGGAGTCTCGCTCTTGCTCAGGCTGGTTTCGAACTCCTGACCTCGAGCAATCCGCCCGCCTCGGCCTCCCAGAGAGCTAGGATTACAGGTGTGAGCCACCGCGCCCGGCCAAGTTTTTCAATTTTTTGTAGAGACAAGGTCTTGCTCTTGCTCAGGCTGGTCTGGAACTCCTGACCTCAAGTAATCCTCCCTCCTGGCCTCCCAGATTGCTAGGATTATAGGTGTGAGCCATCACACCCAGCCTATTTATGTGTTTTAAATCATATTAAGATATTGTGGAAAACACTCTTGTTTTGGGGAAAAAAGTGTATATTTTTTTAAATATAAACCCTCAACTCTATCAAAAGCAGGTTATAAAAAGTATTGGTCAGTAAAAAAACATTTTATAGAAGTCCTAAGCTAAATTAATGAGGAAAAGAAGGGGAATTACCTACTTTCCTTTAAAATCTGGAAAATTATATTTTTTAATTAGAAAAAGGTGTCCCTAATAGAAGCTATACCTATATGACTAAAATGTATAAGCTTCCTTTTTTAAAACTGACAGCATAAGAAGTAAGGGAGGATAAAGCACATGTTGGTGATAACAAGCAAACTGAGGGTAGCGCTGGGGGTGGTGGCAGCCTGGATACCTCCAACACCAGCATGACTGAAAGACCCAGACCTGCTTTATCTCAGTTCAAGCCTGAGGTTAAGGCCAAAGCCATTTTAAATAGTGACTAAATGGAGTTTAGATTCAGTAAGGAAGGTACTGGTTTCTAGTTTTCCTTCTTCAAACATTTCAAATTACACAGTACTAATAAAATTTAAATGATTAGAAAATTAAAATAGACAAGTTAAGCATATTATTTTTTCCCCCTCAATTATATCAATTATTTGACCAGGGTGTCATAACTTGAATGTCACTTTGCTACTCACAAGATGGCAGTTACTCTGACCTCAGGTTGGATGTTAAAACTTTATATCTGAAAACAGTACGAGCAAATGAGTAAAAAATGAATTCCCTGAACACAGTAGGATACAGGTTAGCATCTTCAAAAGCTCTAAATACTTTTTAGTTTACTGTTTTTACCATGTGGTCAGATGTCCCAGAGCCTTTCACTGTTTACTGGCTGTTTACCTGGAAATCACTAACTAAAGATATGTATCTTTAGGTATATGCGAAAGATATGTGAAATAGACAGGCAAATTCAATGGTTCAATAAGTTTCAACCAGGAAGAAGTTGAATGTCTGGTGCATCTGCAGGAAGATGTAGGAAAAGATGAGATCCAGCCAAGAGGAGTGTCTCATGGCCAAAGAAAGCATAACGAGGGCACCAGGGTTTCAGCAACCTACATGTGGACCCCTACCAATATCTAGAGAGCAAAACTGGTACGCTTCAAGCACTTCTATTTTTATTATCTTTCATCCGTCATAAGAAGCTTGCTCTAAGGTATGGCAAAAAGGAAAATAAAGAGAGTCTAGAATGTTTTACCAGTTCAAAAAGACCAACTCAGGATTTCTTCAAAGTATGTAAAGAGGCAGCTTTGGTTATGCTAGACCTTGCAAATAAATCTTTCCTATGGAAGCTAGGTGACAGACGTTATCAATGAACACAGCGTCTATCTGAAATAACAGAAAGAAGGGTCTACACATGCCTGTAGGGTTAGGTGTTTTTCTCCGTTAGGCTCTTAAGATTTTGTGGGATATGGTTTGGGCTTTGTATTAAAGATGTTATTTTTGTATTTGTAGGATATTTTAATTTGACCAACAAGAAATACATTATTAGAATTATCACCTTCATTGACTTTCTCAGGATGCCATCCTGTTGTCCAACCCAGAGATAATGTCACATCTGGAAAGAAGGATGTCACAGTATCTATAAATGGTTTTGCATCTATTACTTTGCTATTTCCATTTGGACCAGGAAGAATATCAGCATTAATCCATACGGGACACTTCAGATGCCTCTTCACATTTTCCAAGAGCATCATGGATGGTTCTACAGCTGCCAGACTAAAAACATAGTTTGTTGTCAATGAGACATATTCCTAAGTCAAAGAAAAAAGTAGTTCTTTTAGACTAGTGGTTTTAATGCTCTCAAATTCATAATAAAAATATAATATAATAATGTCTGAATTAAATAAAATCAAAGATAATATAGTACCAGAGGGAAAAGCTAATGATATATGCCATATCTCAAAATGTTGATTTCTTATTATTCATGAAGGTACCTTAAAGATTCTATAAATACATGAATAATGTCACTACCTGTAGACAAAATAGAGGTTTCAAAACTCTATATTAGGATCACTCAGTGTGAAAACAATTTAAGAAAATATGCAAGTGTTCATTCATCACAGAAAGTATAAATAACAAATGAAATATACTTATAACCTGAAAATTCACATTTATGAAATACCCAAGTACACCCAAGCACTGTATCTCTGATTCCGGCATAATTTAGTTTAAGTTAAAAAGAAGCTTCACTCTTTTTACTTCCCTAGAGTTTGGTCCATCTTTACAGCTTATGAATCCACTAAAACCTAGAGTCTTCATTTCAGGGGCAGAAGAGTGAGAAGAAAGAAGTGTCCAACATGGGAGCAGAGTGACACCTATAGACTTTGAAACAGTAAGGTTTTAAGCAGCCTACATAATTTTTACTTTTTAAAAATATATAGAGAAACTTTGCTGGAAAACTATACTACTTATAACTGATTATCTTCTGAACCTGTAAAGCCTATGTTTATTTATAAGAAAATTAGCCTGTAGTGAATATTGTGATGAAAGGCTAAGAATTTTGGAGATGGATGTTGGAGGAGAGAATACTCAGTAACCCCTCCTCATGGTTCCATCTTTCTTCTTGAGGGACTGGAATACTTCTATGCTTCTACTTCTCTCTACTCCTTTTGGGCTTCCTACTTTAAGAGGAGAAATAAATCATCTTATGATGTATTGGGTTATATTTACTAGTGAGCAAGGATATTACGCACTAAAACCAGAGGAAACAGGCTCTAGCTCTCAGCCTCTAGCCCCTTTTACTCTGCTGCCATGTAGAACATTTCTTTCTTCTCACTCTTCTGCCCTTGAAATAAAGACTCTAGATTTTAGTGGATTAAGAAACTCTAATGCTGGACCTTGCAAACTCCAATTTAGATGTTGTCACTTCTCTGTTTTAAATGCTTCCTGCCTCACACTGCATCAATGCCATATTATAATAAAACCACAATTCTGAGATCTGGCAATGTACTTCCTACAAAATTCCATTTTTGGTAGCAAGCAACTTGTACCTGCGACTCCAAAGCTTGCATCTCTTTAAGTCCTACAGTAGCAGCCAAGTCCCCATGGAGTTTTGCTCTTCATGGGTGGAGCAAGGGAAAACCTTCAACTAACCCATGAATGTCTATTGCCAAGCTCCTCTCTTTTTCCAGAAAGCACTCTGATCTCTTAAGAAAACTGGCATCCGTGGAGGTAAGGTTAAACACTAATTTCCAGTTTACATATCAGGAGGGAGCTTCTTAAGCATTCTCAATTTAATAAGCCGACATTGGGCTGTTTAACACTGACTTGCCATCTGATAATATCCAGTGTTAAACAGCATATTCTCCCCAAAATAGAAATTCCACGAGTGCTTATTCAGTGCCTACTAGATGCAAAGCACTGGCAAACATAAAAACTATGACACAGAACATAATGAAGAATTTAATATATATTCCATTTTACATATAAATATTTTAATTATCACTAATATAGATTAGGGTAATGACATTTTTCCTTACTAGAAACTTAAATAAGAAAAACAAAACCTATATTTTTAAAAATTCTAAATGTTATTAAGAAACCTAAAACTTTTTGTTGTTTTAGCTCTTATTTTCTAGAACTTGACAAAATAATTCTAAAATTCTTCTGGAAGAAAAGCTGTAACATTTTTGACAAAAACATTGAGGACAAATTTTTCCAAACAACAAAATACAATGTATAGTAGTCTTCCTTTATCTGCAGGGAATATATTCCAAGACCCCCAGTGATGCCTGAAACCAGATAGTACCAAACCCTATATACACTATGCTTTTTTCTATTAATATATACCTATCATAAAGTTTAATTTATAGATAAGGCACAGTAAAAACAATAACTAAAAATAAAGAAGAACAATTATAATAATATACTGTAATCGAAGTTAAGTGAATGTGATCTCTCTCACAATAGCTTATTGTACTATACTCACCTTTCTTCTTTTTGTGATCTGTCAATCTGATAACCTAGATGGCTACTAAGTTATTAACAGGCGGGTAGCATACACAGTGTGAATACACTGGATAAAGGGAAGGGATGATTCATGTTCCAGGCAGGATGGAGTGGGACGGTATAAGATTTCATCATGCTATGCAGAATGCTGTGAAATTTATGAGTTGTTTATTTCTAGAATTTTTCATTTGATATTTTTAGACTCCAGGTAATAGAAACTGCAGATAACAGAGGACTACTGTATATTACAAAAAAATAACATATCATGTTCCTAACTGGAAGACTCAATATTGTACGTATCACAAAATGACACATCCTTCTAAATTAATCTATAAATTCCATGTAATTCTAATTTAAAATACCAAGGGCCAACACTCTCAATTCTTACATGTATTAGTATTAAGTTTCCTATAGGTAAGTGCCAAAAGCTTTGCCGGGGTGATCATCTGAAGAAGAAAGTCCTGATTAGAAAACTACCTAAAATTGTTCTTTGGTAATATTTATTTAAATCCCTAAAAAAGAATATAAACTTAGTTATTATAGAATAGAATTTTTTTTTTTTTTTTGAGACAGAGTCTTGCTCTGTTGCCTGGGCTAGAGTGCTGTGGCATCAGCCTAGCTCACAGTAACCTCAAACTCCTGGGCTCAAGCAATCCTTCTGCCTCAGCCTCACAAGGAGCTGGGACTACAGGCATGCGCCACCATGCCTGGCTCATTTTCTATATATATTGTTAGTTTCCCGGCTAATTTCTTTCTATTTTTAGTAGATACAGGGTCTTGATCTTGGCAAGGCGGGCCCAAAACCCCGAACCCCAACCAACCCCCCAACCCAACCCCCCAAAAGGCCAAGAATAAAACCCGGAACCAACCAGCCCAACCCAAAAAAAAAAATTTTTTTCCCTAAAAAATCACCTGTAAATCAAGCTTGTGAATATCTTATCCTACTTTCCTATTAATTATATTTAGAAATTGGAGATAACAAAATGAAAATCACACTTAAAATTGTAATAAACCGTTTAAAACTACATTTTAAGGGAAAACAATTCTTTGCTAAAACACTGGAGAGTTTGCTAAAACTATGGATAAAATTTTAAAATATATTACTTATTATTTGTGTGCTAAACAGAATTACTTAGAAGCACAAGACAAGAACTACTAAAATTTGACTCAAAGGTAACGTTCAGGTACTCTTACAGAGGCAGTGCAGCATTCTGGTTAAGTGTGAACTCTCCAGCAAGGCTGACAGCTCTGCCTCTCCATGACCAACTCTGTGACCATAAGCAGGCTACTTAGCCCTCTCTGCCTCCACTGCCTGGAAAATGAGAATGACAGTAATACCCCACCTCTTGGGACTGTTAGGAGAATTAAATGAAAAACACATGTGATGCTTTTAGAACAGCATCTGACATACAGTAGGTGTTCATATAACTTCGTTTATATTTATTCCTCTTCAAATAGGTTATAATTTTAAAAACTTGCAAAATCTTTGTTTTAGTGGATCCGCCCTTTTGTGGTAGCTGCTAGCATTTAGGAATGAATGAGCCGATCTGCTTGGCGAGGAGCCAAAGAACATGACAGAGAACAATTCAAGGGGCTACAATAAACATACGAAAAATTGAGCACACAACAAGACAAGGAGATCTGAAAGTTTAAGTCACCAAGCATTAAATATCAAATGCTTTATTCCATGGTGCAGAGATCACTGGACTGGCTCTAGGAGACCTGGAATCTGCTTGCCTGTCAAAGCTTAGCTGCTGTCCTTAAGTAAATCATTTGATGAATCTCTCTAGGACTAAGTTTCTTTGTCAACAAAACAGAATTGAACCATTCATCACTTGAAAATGATGATCTTAAGATAATTCTTTAATTCTAAGCCCTTATCAAGCCAAAACTCTTGTACGTCAAGATTTTATATATCCATTCATTTGCCAACAGTTTAATGAGGTTTACTGGTATGTTCTGCTGTGCAACAAATGGATAGAGTCATCTTAAAAATCCTACAATTAGGGAGACTGAGGTGGGAAGATCACTTGAGGCCTAGGAGTTCAAGACTAGCCTGGGCAATACAACAAAACCTGGTCTCTACCAAAAAAAAAAAATTAGCCAGGCACGGTGGTGTGTACCTGTAGTCCCAGCTACTGGGGAGGCTGAGGCAGGAGGATGGCTTGAGCTCAGGAGTTTGAGGTTGCAGTGAGTTATGATCATGCCACTGCTCTCTGGCCTGGGCAACAGAGCAAGACCCTGTCTCGGAAAAAAAAAAAAAAAATCTACAAGATTGCAAATCTTTAATTCCTTGAGATAATTTAATTTCAAAATACTACTCAAAGATGAGGTAGATTTACTGCCAAACCTAAATTTCAATGGCAGCTGCCTGCTATTAAGACCCATAATAGGGGCTTATGGTGTGCTTCTGTGGTGTCACAGTGTATTCCTGGCTTTATCTATAATATTTACACTGCCAAAATGCTACAAAAAATTTATTGTGATGGCCACAGCAAAACAAATAACACTTAGTCTTGCTCTTCATTACTAATGCCTCCAAAATGTGATAGTTAAGGAACACGTTCATTATTAAAGACTTCTAAATAATCCCCTTTACAAACATAATACATAAATCAAATAGGATATGCATTAACAACCTCAAAAAAATTCTCCCAACTCTCACTCTCCTGGACGATCTTTTAATAAAAGTAGCATTTTAAATTTAACTGTTACCACAATGGTCACTTATGATAAATTCCTTTATAAAAATTAACCTAACTTTAACCTCTCAGGGTTCCCAAAAAACAACTTTAGCAAACAATTTATTGGGTCTTAGATCCATTCCTGAAACAATAATTAGAGTTTACAAATCCATTTTCAGTTTGGATAAAGTACAAAAAGAGGTGGTCTGGCATGGGCATATGCAGCTATTATTTTTTCTCTCCAAAGTTATTCTGTAACAACCAGAAAATTGAACATGTTTGTACAAATACCTCTTGAAATCCAGCTTGATGCCTTTATTGCTTTTTGTAACTTCACCCAGCCACTCCTGTAGGGTATTATCACTGTTTGTTTCAGGAGGATGGGCCATAATTGGTTGGCAGTCCTCTGATCCATCATCTGGCAGGAGGACATCAGCTTCTATCATGTGAGCAGTACCTGTCCAAATAAGTTAATGCTAATGAAACAGGAGGCAGAACTATAGGAAATACCATGCTCAGCATCCTTTTGAGGAAGATAAAAGAAAGGAAAGAAAAGAAACACTTATTGAGTAACTTCTACATGCCAGGTATTATACTAGGCCCTTAGATATTATCCTTATTTTTTTACAGATGAACAGGTGCCAAGAAGTTAAATGACTTTCCCTAGGTCACACAGCACTTAAGCTATTGTCATACTTCTGAATGTCTTCCCAGTACCTGGCAAAGGGAGTACATAATGGGAGGCTTAGCCTCCCATTTGTTGAAGTTTTCTGGGAATAAAGATAGTACTTTAATCTTTTCACTCCTCAAATTAGCAACTATGGATATTTATTGCTTATGTTTGAAATTCTACATTAAAAATTCATTTCTTTGACTTCCAGCTTAGTTGCTGTTTAAAAGCATATATCCTTCGAACGGATAATAAGCCAGATGAGCCTGCTAACTTCTAATTGTCACAGTCACTCCCTAGTCCAAATTTTAGAATAGTCCCTTTAAAGCAACGTTCTATCAAATACAAATACCCATCTGGCCTGCTTCCCACTGCCTAGGTGGAAGAAGAGAGAAGAACTTATTCTTTTGTCTAGAACATCTGAGAGATTAGCTCTACCCAGTGAAGAACTACATACCAAAAAAGAATCTCTTCACCCTTGTGAGAGGAATAAAGAGTGAAGTAAGAGGCCAAAGCATCTGGGGAAAAATCTCTCCTCTTGGAAACTAGAGTAGTGGAACCAAATGGGTTTCCATCTAATGATTATATTAAAAAATTTAGCCGGGCGTGGTGGCTCACGCCTGTAATCCTAGCTCTCTGGGAGGCCGAGGCGGGCAGATTGCTCGAGGTCAGGAGTTCGAAACCAGCCTGAGCAAGAGCGAGACCCCGTCTCTACTATAAATAGAAAGAAATTAATTGGCTAAAATATATATATATATATAAATTAGCCGGGCATGGTGGCGCATGCCTGTAGTCCCAGCTACTTGGGAGGCTGAGGCAGAAGGATTGCTTGAGCCAGGAGATTGAGGTTGCTGTGAGCTAGGCTGACACCATGGCACTCACTCTAGCCTAGGCAACAAAAGCGAGACTCTGTCTCAAAATAAATAAATAAATAAATAAAAAATTTAAATGGAAAACCACTTGAAGAAAAAAAAATACTGAGTTATGTTTAAATATACCACTGTGGATGCTGGGTGGAAAAGGAACTGGACAGGGGCAAGTGGGGAAGCAGGGAAAATAATCTGTCAAAGTAGGATGACTCATAAATCTATTGGATGCTTCTGGCTGCAAATAAACAGAAATTAGATTCAAACTAACAAAGAAATTTATCATCTCATATAACTAGAAGTCCAGAGGTCAAGTGAGCTCTAAGTGTGGGCCAGTCGGCAACTCAGTGATGTTATCAGGGTTTTTATGGCTCTTTTCTTCACTCTCTTTGTATTTTCTTCATCTTAAGGCTAATTTCATCTCATGATTATAAGATAGCTACCAGCAACCACTGGGGCCACATATATTCATAGCCACATTTTTAAGTTTTAAGACATAAAAGTTCTTCAACAATTATAGATATAATTACTTTACTTGGGTCTGATTGAGCCTAATTAGATCACTTGCCCACTGGGGGAACAATATGAATCATCAGGAAAACTGCAAGTGCTAATTAACTTACTTATTTACTTTTACATTCATTCATTCATTCATTCAGACAGACAGACAGACAGACAGACAGACAGACAGTCTCCCTCTCTCACCCAGGCTAGAGCACAGTGCTGTCATCATAGTTCACCGCAACTTCAAACTCCTGGGCTCAAGTGATCCCCTGCCTCAGCCTCCCGAGTAGCTGGGACTATAGGTGTAAGCCTTGATACCAGGCTAACTTTTCTATTTTTAGTAGAGAAGGGGTATTGCTTTTATTCAGGCTGGTCTTGAACTCCTGAGCTCAAGCAATCTTCCCACCTCAGCCTCCCAGAGTGCTAGGATTACAGGCATGAGCCACCATGCCTGGCCTATTTATTTATTTCAAAATATTAAGAGGGTACAAATGTTTTTGGTTACATGGATTGCTTTTGTAATGCTTGAGTCATGGCTTTAAGTCACCATCACCCAAACAATGTTCATTATACCTGTTAGGTTCCTTCCCCCTCCCTCCTGCTTGATTTCCACTGAATTTTACTTTCCTGTGTGCACATTTGTGCTCATGGGTTAGTTCCAATATAATAGCAAGTACACGTGTTTGTTTTTCCATTCTTTAGATACTTCACTTAGGATAATGGTCTCTAGCTCCATCCAAATTTTTGCAAAAGGCATTAATTCATCCTTTTTTATGGCTGAGAAGAACTCCATGGTATACATATACCACATTTTGTTAATCCACTCATGAATTGATGGGCACTTAGGTTTATTCCACATCTTTATGATTGTGAATTGTGCTGCAATAAACATTCAAGTGTAGGTGTCTTTTTGATAAAATGATTTCTTTTCCTTTGGGTATATACCAGTAGTGGGACTGATGGACTGAATGACAGGTCTAGTTCTTTGAGTAATCTCCATACTGTTTTCCATAGAGGCTGTACTAATTTGCAGTCCCACTAACAATGTATAAGCATTCTTTTCTCTCTGCATCCATGCCAGCATCTATTGTTTTTGGACTTTTTAATAAAATCCATTCTGACTAGCATTAGGTGATATCTCACTGTGGTTTTAACTTGTATTTCCCTGATGATTAGTGATGTTGAACATTTTTTCACATGTTTATTGGCCATTTTTCTTTCTTTTGAAAAGCTTCTGTTCATGTTTTCTGCTCACATGTTAATGGGGTTGTTTGTTTTTTCTTGTTGATTTGCTTGAGTTCTTTGTAGATTCTGGATATTAGCCCTTTATTGAATGTATATGTTGTGAATATTTTCTCCCATTCTGTAGGTTGTCTATTTGCTCTGCTGATTATTTCCTTAGTTGTGCAGAAAGAAGATTTTTAATTTAATTAAATCCCATTTATTTCTTTTTGTAGTTGCTGTAATTGCCCTTTGGGTCTTAGTCATAAATTCTATGCCTAGGCCGATATCTAGAAGTATTTTTAAAAATATGGAATGCTTCATGAATTTGCAAGTCATCCTCGTGCAGGGGCCATGCTAATCTTCACTGTATCATTCCAATTTTAGTATATGTGCTGCTGAAGCCAGCACTGATTAACTTATTTTAATCCACCCCTGGAGCCAGAAATGCAGTCAGCTTCCATGTGCTTGTATGGAGCAGAAATGGATACCTTAATAAAAGTGAATTTCTTTTAGGAAGGAGGAAAAGGGGAATGGTGATAGGGTAGGCAGCCAATGGGTGTTTGCTATGTTTCTCTTCCCTAAGCTAGATCGCATTTAGGTTCTTTTAATTACAGTGGGGCAAAGTACAGAATAACAAAATATCTAGACCAATGAAAGAGTTTTATACTCCCTTTATTCTCTATCAAATGGAATTCTAAGGATTGTCTAGGTACTACCCAAACAGCTTGCAGCCTTTGGCCAAAGGTAGGATTCTTCAACCATGTATATAAGACCAAGTCCTGATGTTTGGGTGGCTCACCTGGCAATGGGGAGGGCAGATGCAGAGAATTCTGTCTTTCAGCTTATGGCCAAACTTCTATAAGAACAACAGGACAGGCTGGACATGGTGGCTCATGCCTGTAATCTTAGCACTGTGGGAGGATCACTTGAGCTTAGAAATTCAAGACCAGCCTGAGCAAGGGTGAGACCTCATCTTTACAAAAAAATAGAAAAATTAGCCAGGTGTGATGGCACACTTCTGTAAGTCCCAGCTATTTGAGAGGCTGAGGCAGGAAGCTCACTGAAGCCCAGGAGTTTGAGGTTGCAGTGAGCTATTATGATACCACTGCACTCTCACCAGGGCAACAGAGCACATATGCACAAAAAGAACAACAAGGCAAATGGAATAGCAAAAAGACAGATGATCTGATCTTTTACTGTTTTGCCAGGATGAGGTTGCAGAAGAGGGGTTGTGGGTCTACGGTATCATCCAACCCAATTTTCTACTGCCATATTTAAGATGCAATGGGTCAAGATTCTAATTTGATTTTTTTACAAAAAGCAAGCATGATTTCTCAATAAAGTGTGTAGCAAAAGATATGTAGGCATTCTATCTCCTCCTCCATCAGTATAGTTATGAAGGGGCACGACAACATGGAATCCTTTGTTTAAGAGCAATAGTCATAGTCTGTTAATTCCATTTATTTCCCATAAATAGAAAAAAAAATCAGTAAATAGCAAGTTGAGGAGTCATAGGCCCATTTAAAGTATGTTCCTAAGGTCACCTACAAGAAAAAGACTGGGAAACTATAGCAGTAAGGGCAAGAAATCCTGGTGGCTTCTAGGATAATGATAAGAAACGATGAAGAGATGAGGAACAATTCAAAATGTATTTTGGAACAGAATCATAATGATTGGATGACAGATCAGATAAAGAGAATTGAAGACTCTCAGATTTCTGATTCAAGCATCTAAGTAGATTGTGGTAGGAAATCCTGAGACAGGAAAGATCGTAGGAAGTACAGGTTAGTAAATATAATCAAGAATTTCATTTTGAATAAGTTAAAGTAGAGATGCATGTGAGATCTCTAAGCACAAACATCAATAAGCAGTTGGACAGACTAACACTAATAAGAGAGGTGGGCCTGGCCTGGAGACATTTACATAGGAGCTACCCAACCCCTCTGGCCCTTGGATAGAAGGCTTTTGAAGGTCAGGGAATACTTTTGCCTGGGAGACTGCCTAGTCACAATAGTCTCAAATAACGGGGAGAGCCAGAAGAGGAAGTGCGTATATCAGGATATATGTCAACCCAACCACAGGAGCTCCAGATTGTGACCACAGCCAGACTTTGCTTTGCTTCACCTTGCCTCACCAACTCCTGCTCACCAGAGCAAAAGCAACTTTCACTATTCCCAACTTGCAATATCAAAA